TCCTGTTTTACAAGTGCTTCACTACTTGTAAGATTTTTGGCAGAAGTCATTCCATTGTATCCTAGTCCCTGAAACTCTTAAGATAAAGGCTATTCTTTTTAATAATTGCACAAATATGTTTAAGTATGGAGGAGAAAGGCTTGCTTAGAATTCTAAAATGTTGAATACTAACAAAATCTTAACTTCTTTCCTTTACAAACAGAGCTCAGCTGTGCCTCGAGCTTGGGCCTCAACAGACCATCTCTCCATAGTGTGGTAAGCTAATGGAAAAAAGTTAATTGAGTGACTGTACATCCCTCTGTTCTCTGCTGTTACCTCATACAGTAATTTAACTTCAGCATAATATTATTATGATGTCTCATCTGACTGCTTCTATTGACCTGGATATTTCCTTTCTAGATTTAATGTTACTTATTCTGTCTTCTAGGTGCAAAGAATTGATCCTGGCTACCATCAGAGCTTTTTTTGATCTCATAGATGAAAACACAAGGCAGGTTTGTATATGTGATCTCCTGTAAATTGCCTCAGTACTCTTCCTTCTGCTATCCTAGAATGCTTAATCAGGACAAATACCACCCTGTTATACAGAAAACTCCTTTTAGATTTTTCTAAGTCATACTATGAAAATAGTTTGTCTTGTATCAGTCAGTAACATGACCAACATTTCAGAAATAATTAGGTGTTAACTCAGTTTTTATTATTGACTGCCTTTTGCTTTATAGCTGGGTTGTGGAATGAACTTTGCTTCCATAAGGCAGCAGGTTTAGTTGACCTTGCACCAGGTTAAACAGGTCTTAGTAGCTGTGAATGTGACCTCTCAATATGTGTTTGAGTTGCCTTCTCTGACAAGTATAGGACAGACAAAAAACTGTGACAGTTTAACCTGGACATAATGCTTTCTGAACTTCCTTATGTGGTGTCATCATAGTGGCCAGCACCTGTTTGTGGTGTTCTTTTGAAAATAGCTCTTACCAAAATAGAATGCAAGTAAATTACTAGTGTATTTGTCTGCCTCCAGCTACCATTATTGTTTTTCTAAATAAATATCCTGCATCATACTTTTTGAAAATTGCTGGAGAAATCTCTTGTTATACTCTCTTCTTTCTGAAATGCTGTGCAGCAATAAATATGAGTTGCAGTTAAGGTCCAAGAGGTTGGAAATACATAAGACAGATCCCCAGAGGTAGAAGAGAAATCCTTCAAGGTGTTCATTTTGAGACTGGTGCACACTTAGTTTCTCAGATGCACTCAGTTTAACTTGATTTAGAGAGACATAAAGGAGGTACAGTTGTTCAGGAGCTGATGGGCAGTGTACTGGAGGGTAGAGCTTTTCAGAAATCACTTGTAATAGCCAAAATTTTTAAAAGCTGAATAGACAAAAATTAGTCCTGGAAAAAAAACCAAACCAAACCACCACCACCAACAAATAAAACCAACCCAAACCACAAGTGAATCCCAGTGTAGCTCTACAGCTTTTTGAGTAGTTGAACAAAAATTATTCCTGGAAAAAAAAAAATAAACCAAACCACCACCAAATAAAACCAACCCAAACCACAAGTGAATCCCAGTGTAGCTCTACAGCTTTTTGAATAGTTGAAATATTAAGACAAAATGTAGTAAGCTAGATTTGTGAACTCAGACTAGTAAATATAAATGTGAGAACTTTTCCTGAACTATGGCTTAAGTGTGTTATTTCAGGAAGAATACATGTGTGTCAATAAAGCAAGTTTAATAGAATGGTTGCCTCATGCTAAGAGTGGGCAAGGATATAAACCTAAATGTTTTAGTTGTGTTCTATAATGACTATCTGTATTGCAGTGATTCACTATTGATGGCACTTTATTTGTTCAGATTCTTGACTTTAGAATAGAATCAGTGTACCAGGTCTTCTAACAACCTCTACCTGGCTCTCATCCCCCAAACTGAATTGCTGTTATTGCTATCTGTGATCCTGTGATGACTGTAAATCACACAAATTGCTAAAATATACACTTTTTTTTAGATAACTGAGGATCCGAAGAAGAGAATGGCCGTATTGAACCACCACTTTGTGAGACACCCTGCAAAGATATTTGAGGAAAATCCTGAGGCTTTGACAGAACTCACAGGTGTGCAGCAGTTTTGTTTTGAACAAGATTCAGTGTTATTCCTTGGTTAATAGTTAATTGTCTCATGAACAAACTTCTGGAATACATTTTGTCCTTCTTCAATCATTGCTAACATTATATATGGGTTATAGACCTAAACTATCCAACTTCCCTGTGGTTTCAGCATTAAATAGATTAACTCTGCATGAAATTTTTTTTAATCTCAGAAGTTGAGAATAGCTGGATGTCACAAGTACAATGTAATCTATGCTTGCATCCCATGCTTGCAAGTGGGATAGTAAGTGAGTTGTAGAGCCATTGTGTTAGTTTTGTGCTATTCATGGAAATCCTGAATATTCAGATCTGCCTCATCAGTGACTTTATTTTTTTTCCTTAATGACACAGCAGGGTAAAATGGACTGTACAGTAATGGTTTCCTTGTAACTGCTGAGAATGCATAGTTAGAGGTGAGAAATTTTGACTGCATGGAGTTTTGGGAACTAAACAGAGCTTTTGCAGGGCACAGGTGTATTCCTTGCTTTGCTGAAGTGGGTTGAGTCACTTTATTTCTGGAATTTTCTTAATCTAAGTTATTCCAGAAACACAAAGGTAGCTGGAACTTTGGTGTCAGGTTTTGACCACCCTGGTATAAGAAGGTACTAAGACATTGGCAGGGATGGAGGTGAGTCTGGAGCAGAGGATCACCACGATGGGTAGCTCCTGGGGAACAGGGTGTGGGGGAGGGAGGCTGAGTGATCTGGGTTTTTCCACCCTGAAGAGACTGCTAAGGGGGATCCTGTTGCTGTCTTCAAATACCTAAAGAAAGACTGGAGAAAAAGTGAAGCTAGATTTTTGTCTCAGAAGTGCCCAGTGATAACACATTAGGCAGTAGAGTCCAGTTCCAACAAAAGAAATTCCAGTTACATATTAGGAAAAAGTACTTTACTGGGAAGGTGATCAAACACTGGAACTGGTACTCAAAGAGGTTGTGGAGTTGATTTTTGTTTGCTATTTTTTTTTTATGTGTTGGTTTTCAGCAATAAAGGAGGAATATGTTTAAATTGAGTTTCAGGTCTGTATCTTCCCATTTCTGGTGACTTTTTGACAGTTAGCTAAATTTCTGTGATGAACTTGTTACTCTAGTAACGTAAAAGAAAGACGTTTAACTTTCTTGCATGACAGTTTGCATTGTTTGTTATCTATTCATCTGTCTTACTCTTTTTTTTTTTTTTTCCCCTCAGATATCTTTAAATTGCTGCTGTTTGGTTGTACCTGTTACTCAGCTCATCGTTGACTTATACACGAGTTTCTGTATTAGTTTTCTTCAAAGGCTGACAGGATCACAGGCAGGGGCTGTTTCTAATGTTGCCTCAGCTTTAATCAGTCCACCCTGTAGTTACATTAGTATAATTCAGTTTCTTGGTTTTTTGCCTTGAGAGCTTTCTTTCAATATTTGTAGGGGTTTTATTTCACAGTTAATATGTATTGATTGGATCCTAGGGTTTTGCTGTTTCCTGTGTAACTGTTGATAGCTGTTGCATGTAGTTCTAACCTCCAGCAATCCTGAGTGTTGGTTAAAGCTTATAAATTTTATTTATAGATAAGAGATAAGACTTTGGCAATAAGCAAAATAAAAGATTTTGGAGATGAGGATAATAGTTCCTGCAGTGTGGCATATAAAAACATATTTATTTTTAGGAGCTTTCATGTGGATTACAGTCAAAGCCTCAAAATGGACTTACTCAGTTTACAATGTAAGTATAGTTTTTTTCCTCAATGTGTTTTTGTTTATTTTTTTTTTACTAATGACCATTTTTTTTTTTTCTTTTAAGGACTCTGATGGAAAATATTTCACATTTCCTCTTGCAAGCCACAGAAAATCATACAGCCATGTTTACTGTGAAAACAGTATGCTGGTGAGAAACTACTACTTCAATGTCTGGAGTTTGCTTATAAAGCTGTGGGGTTTTTTAATTGAGATTTGCTGCAGTTTTAGGACAGTTTAATGAACAGTTGTTGAAGTTGCTGACGTGTTACATTCACAGCCTAATACTTTGTGTTAGGTGTATGTGTCTTAGCATGTCACACTTAATGTTCAAGATTAAGATCCAAAATCTTTAGTGTCACCTGAACCTCAGATGTTTTATTTTTGCCTTTCTTATAGTTAGCCACAGATGACTTTGTCCTTTAATTTAATGCAGTTCTCTATTGATGGTTTTGAATGCAGAAGTTTCTGGTGCTGCCAGCATTCAGACATACTTCTAATTTGAGGAAGCTGTTTATAGATTTGCTTTCCCATAATAAAGTCTAAGTGAGCCTGAAAGGCTACAGAGATCTTCGGGGAAGCGAATGGAAGCCAGATGAGACAAGAGCACCTCCTCAGCTCTCTCCCTGCTGAGAGGAGGGTGATAATGTGCATTTCTGCTATTTTTAGCTCAAGACACGTAAATTCAGCCAGACAGTTTATTGAAACCCTTTAAAAATATTTTTTAAAGGAATGAATGTAATCTCTTGGCAAACTGGAGATGGAGAAATATGCTTTTCAGAGTTACGTGCTTTAGTGGCAAGAAAATTGAGATGCTTTTCTGTTCCATCCTGCTTGCTCCTGTTGCCACTCATCCCCTTTCCAAAGAGGTTCATACCACCATTGTGAAAAAAAGATTTTCAATTCTCAGTGCTTTTCTAATTGTTCTTCCAAGTAGCACCTTCAATATCTACATGTTTGTTGTGACGTTAGCTGTGCTTTAAAAGCATAACTTTTGCCTTTGTTGTAGTATCTTAGACAGGACTAGTACTGCTTGAGGAGAAGATGTTTTGATTCATAACTAGAAAAGGTGGCAAAAATAGAAGTTTATTTAAAATGGTTCCTAGAAACCCCCACCCTTCACTTTTATGCTTCATCCTTCTGTCTGTGTAATTGTAATTCCAAGATGATGATATCAGACTTTTAATGGAGGCTATCACTTGCTGTTAACAGAGAAGTCTGACTTGATTGTGAAATGAAGGGGAAAAAAAAGTTGGTGGATTTCTTTCATTATGAAAAATTGAGGAAATCTGAGAGACTTCTTATCAGTGTTGCTGCTTTTACACTTCAGCATTTGAAATCCTTATGAGAGTTTGGTCACTATAGTGAGAGCTGCTGCAGACACATTTAATGGAAAAGGAGCGAGATGAAGATGGAAGTCTGTTCCTCTTTTTAATAAGTTAATGACACCAATGTTCTGCTATCAGAATAGAACAATTGCTGACATCTGGTGTCCTGGAACAATTAGAATCTAGAAATTTTGGAGAAGATTATCATAATAAATTCTGGTATTGTTTGAAGTGAAGAATTGCTGTTTTGAGTATATCTATAAATGATGACACATAGGTAATATACTATTTTATGGTATTGACTTTACAGGACACAAGTAGCTGGATTTATGGCTGTATGAACAGTAATTCATCAATGTGGTGAGTATAAACAGTACTTGTTCTTTATTCAAGTGGTTCTTGTGAGACTACATTTGAATTTAAATCATATACAATATCCTCCTCCTTAGGAAGAGACTGGGAAGAAAATTAAGGAAAGTAAACAGGAAAGAAGAGGTTTAGTGATTATTTTAATCGGGTCATTACAGTAATTACAAAGTGGATTTAAAACACTGGCTTAGCTTACATTTGCAAAGTAATCTCCAAGTAATTTAATCTACCTTTCAAATTAGGGAAAGCTTCCAGGTGGAACTGAGCTAGCAAAGTATTTATCTGTTCTGGGATCTGTGATGTATAGCCACAGTCTTGCCTCCAGCTGATAGCCAGATGTTAACTTCTTGATCCCAGGAGAAGTTGGCTGTTAGTCCTTTGTATAACCTTCGACCAGCATCCAGTGCAGGTGAGCCTAGTTCAGGACTGCTACCTAAAACCTCCTCTGATAATAGTGGGTTTGCTGTGGGCTGTGTTCTGAGGTCATGTAACACTATTTAGAGAAACAGAATTATCCTGGTATTCTAAAAGTCATAACTTAGTGATTGACTGACTGTGCTGCAGTTCAGTGTCTTAACTTAGTATAGGTACACACAGTTTCAGAACTGCTGCAACCTCTTCAGCAGCTAACAATTTTTGGCTTGTATGGTAAGTTTTAGATGTTACCACAGGAAGTATTGCTACTTTATGATGCTTAAAAGATGCTAATAAAACTGTTAACTCAATGCCAATGTTGTTTTAGCTTCTTAGGTTTTCATTATGTATCTGAATTTGCATGGCTAGTAATGGCTGAATGTTTAGTGTATGACAAAGTTAGAGCTTGGCTTGTTTTTTTGCAAAATCAAGATTTACAGTATCTGAAATAAGTTTGATACATTACTACAGTAACTCCAGTAGATCCATACTTCTCAATTTAAAATGTGAATCCAGAGAGAAAGGGAGAAAAGCTGGCATGTTAATCCACTGTCATAACACAGAGCCTGCATAATGAATGTGTTCATCCTTCAACATGTATGAATTTTTACAGCCTGGAAGCTACTGATTTATCCTGGAGAGCTGAGTTACTTCCAACCACCAAGGCAAGTGTTGTACATACTTGCAGGAGGGAGGTGTGCTTTGTGGGGTAGTTGTGTTTCATGGAAGAAGGACTTCTCTTCTTTACAGCATTGGAACATACAGTTGTGTTCCAGAGAAAGGGATACAAGAGGTGGACATCTGGGAACTCACAAGGGGTGGGCTAAGGGTTATATTCAGTAATGGCTCCTCTTTTTATCTCTTTTTTTTTTTTCTTTTTTTAAGGTTGTAATACTGAAACTTCAGGACTACCTGTCTTTGTCCCACATTGTCATTCAGATACCACCCACAGCTGGCAATAAGGTAAAAAATAGAACTAAATAAAACACAGAAAGTGCTTGCTTAGTGTGTTCCTAGATTTGAGATGCTATGAGGAAGGAAAATGAAGTATGTTTAATATGTGCTGTTACTTTAGGAAACCATAGTCCTATACTCCAGTGTGGTTTGGAGGCAACTTAATCTGTAAGCACAGAAACAGATTAATTTGATAAAATGTCAAATGCAAGGCATGAATAGTACCTGAAACATACAAAGCAACAGTTCTCAAACCAGTTCTTAGAGTCCTTATTGGAGACTCTAAAGTTCTAAAGGTTCTTTTTGTTTAGGAAATTGTATTCAGTTTGGACAATTCATTCTCCTTTGCCAAAAAAAAAATGTACCTGAGAAAGAGGGGTGTGAACTGGTTTCCAGTCATTCTCAGCCATTTGAACAGCCTTCTGAAGGCTGTTGCAAATAGGTGAGAACTAGAGTAACCTGGAAGCTTAAAGTACCCAGACTTGTACTGCTGTGTGCAGGAACAAGCTACCTGTCAGCTCCTGTCAGTGGAGTGTGGAGAGGTGGCTTTTCAGTACTTGTGTCCTAGACTCTGCCTAAGCCAGTGAATAGAGTTTGGCAAGTGGCTTTATAGTCTTGTGCGTGGTTTAAATCTCTATTTAATATCCTGAATTGCAGTATACTTTAGGCTGTGAATTCTTCAAAGAGGATTCCAGAACAGTACAGCTTCCTGTAACACACCTTCTTTCATTTGGTAAGTAGAGCATATTACTTCTGGAAAAAAAATTGAAAACTAATATTACTAAAAGTTTGGATAATAAATTTGCCTAATAATTCCAATAGTCAGGAGGTTTTCTGGGGTTTGTTTTTATTAAAGTTAATACTGCTTTTAGTAACACACAAATAAGAAATGTGGGGGGTTTGACTAACAGATGTAGAAGCACACAAGTCTCTTGGAAAAAAAAATAAATCTGAAGATGTAATCAGTTCTCAATTAATTTTATCTAATATGTGAAAATAATACATTCTTCACAGGGTTTTCCTCAAGGAAAATTCTATTAAATTCAAGTGGCTTATTTTACAATGTACAACTCCAGCACTTCAACCAAGTAAGAATACTACTTATTTTTTTAAGGTAATAGAACCACCGTTTGGAGACTGTTATTGATTTTTTTTTTTTATTTTTTTTTAACATGCTAGATATATCAAGCTTTCAAAATTTATATAGAAAGCCACTGCCAGTCACTCAAAGGTAAATATAAGTCTCCTGAAGTATAAATTTATAAGACAGAGCTTGTTGCAAACTCTCAGGACTGAAGCTGGTGGGAACAAGTCCTGTCATGCAATGGGGTTTAGGCAATACTGTTGTCATCTGCTTCAATCTCAGCTAATATCTTGCACCTTCCAATTTCTGTAAAGAAGGATAGCTCAAAGAAAATATGGAATTAGTCCTCATATGTTTGTTTTTCTTACTTCCCAGCAAATGTAAGTTGAACTTGCATTATTGGATTCTGCATTATGTTGAAAGTGTTTCTCAAGAGTAGCACATTTCCTTAAGATTTTTAATTGCTAATTATGGGACTCCAATACCAGTGTTGAGCTACATAGACTTAAACAGAATGGGATGCTAAAGGACTCTGTTTCAAAAAAAAAAAGTGATGGATTTATTGAGGTTACAGCTTTTTATTGAAAACCAGAAGTTTTCTCTTAACTGTCCTGCCTTTAAACATTGATGTCTTGCTGTCTGGTTCTGTAACAACATGAGTTAAAGGCTATAGTTTTTATCCAGTGCTGAATAAAATGAATGATCTGTATTGCAATGTCTGTTGCAGGGTAACTGCAAGCTCAGGGATGCTGTGCAGTGATCTGTATGCCACCATTGGTTTACTTGTGGTTTAGTTTTTGGAGACAGTTGCCACATCTTGTTTTTGATTTTTCTATTCTTTAATTCTTTTCCATTTCAGAAAGAAAACCTAGTGTTTACAGACTTCATATTCCCTGGTCACATGAAGACTCAGTAACTGTAGTGAAGTAAGGACTTCAACAATTATACCTCTTGATAGGGTTTTGAGGAATGCCTGCATCCTGTTGTAGTATTTCTGATATTGTAGGACTTCTGCAGCCTTAAGTGTTTGGCTTCTGCATCTTTTCCTCATTTACCTTTCCTCTGGCCTGAAATTGTCAGCATAATCTTTGATCCTCTCATGAGTGGGGAACAGAGGCAGGCTTCTTCCTGTAAGCTGGGGTTTGTGTCATGCAGCAGCCCTAAATTGCCTCAGCTGCATAGTCCAGACAAAAATGATACATCTGGAGATGTGTCATTTGTGAATGGCAGTTGAACAACCTGACTTTATTTTAGATGGCTGGAAAATGTTCTTCCTTATTTATTGTAGAGGTCAAAGGATATCTGCCTAATTTTTTTTGTCCCTGTATTTTCTAACAGTGTAATACTTGTAGGAATGGGAAAGAATCTGTCCTTCCCATCCCAGCTGCTCAGCATTTTCATGCATTCTGTGAGGCAATGTGTACACTAATGCTGAACTTGCCTGGTCTGCAGTAGTGGCATGCCCCTTGATAGCTCAGAGGACAGCAGATTGAGAATGCAACATAGGTCTTTGTGATAGAATCAACAAATGCATCTTACCATGTCACTCAGCTTGTGGTGACACTTGCTGTCCTACATCTGCTTTACGTGCACGTGTTGGAGTTTAAGGCGTGGTTGGCATTTTGTGATTATAAGGACAACAATTACCAACTAATTTGCTGTTTCAGAGTTCCATCCCCTACTGAGATTTCTGCAAAACTGCATGTTGCTCAGCCTCAAAATGACAGCAGGGTTCCAGAGTTAAACATTTACTCGTCCTCAGACTGTCAGTATGAAGTGAGTAATACACATTTCTTTTCTAGCTAGTTTGCATTGCTGTATAATTTTTGCATAATTCAGTCTTTTAGAGCACATAGCTAATTAATCAAAATAAATACTAAGCAAATCTGAAGGTGGGCCATTTGTAAATCTAGTGCATGTTACAAGTGTTGTGCAGCAGCTTGGACTAATACTAAAAGTTGGGCTCTCATTTCTAAGAAAAACTTTGAAGCATGTTTCTAAAAAGCCAGTAGTAAGCTGTTGTACATTTTAGGTATGGTGCTGCTGTATTCTAATACTTAAACTGACTTCTTAAAAACAAAAGTATTTTGTGCTTGTGCTTACCATTGTATAAAATAATATTCTTTTTTTTTTTTTTAATCAAGGTAATTCTGAAGACATCACTTTTACAGGTTCTTGGGCAGGTAAGAAAACCTTCTAGTACTAGATTGATTTTTATGTCAGTAGCATCTATAGTTTTCCCTTCCTCTGTTCCCTACTATGGCACTTCAAGTTTCTTTTTGATGCCAAGAAGAACATGATTCACTGATCATTTAAAACCTTCTCACTTGGCAAGGCATCCCACCTGGACAGATGTCAGGTCTCATTTTTCAGAGGAGCAGAAAAGCACTCTGGCTCTAAAGGGCTCAAGTGAATGTTGAGCAACTGGCTCTGTGGTTAGGTGAATGAACGTCCGTAAGACTGTAGGTCACTTCCACTTTCTTCTGGGATGACTCAGTAGTGTTAAAACTTTAAAATACATATGGCATCGACTGAAAGTTAAGGAAAAAAGTCTAAGCAGATCCATATGTTCCTTTTCAACAGATTTTCTTCGTTTATCAGTAAAAATAGAGTAGCCATCTGCAGTTTTCTGCTTCTAAAAACTAATTAATTTGCGAGCACCTAAGTGTAGCACTGGAATATTACTGGCAAGCTTCTCTATTTGAATGTATGCATTTATATCAGGGATCTTTCATTTTGTTATAATTTTAGAAAAATTTATGTGCTATCTGAATACTAATCATGCCTTGGGACAGTAGAAACCAAATAAAACATACATGAAATTACTTCAAAAAAATTCTTACCCCAAATACAAGCAGGTTTTGCTTGGAAAGTGGCTTTTTGCTTTCAATTATTTGTTTTATTGAAACACCATTAACATGCTACTGTATTCTTCTATTAATTGTGTTGACTGGAAAAAGCATTCCTTTATAATTTGATCATTTATTAAAACATGTTTGATTAGCCATTTGTGAAAGATCTGAGTGTTTTCTGTATATAACATTAATTTCTGCTGGTGGTTATAAAATACTTATGCATCAAAGTGAGAAACTGTTTGTATCTGAAGAAAAATTTTCCAGTCATATTATCATATTGGCTTCATGGTAATATTTTTGCATGTGTTTATTTTAGTATGTTTTATAGATATAAATTAAGTTATCCTTATACCTTTGTCTTTCAGATAATAAGGTTCCATGCTGGTGCTCTTCCTGTCTATGTTGTTTCTAATATTCTTCTTACTTATGGAGGACAATTGAGCACACTGATGTCAACAGGTACCTTTCTAGGAAAAATATCATTGAACTTGTGCAAGTACTTGGATCTGTGCTCTTCAGCTTTGGTGTGTGTTTGTTGGTAGCTCTCCAGGGCTGTGTTGTAGCAGAATAGATGTTTTACTCTGCAGTCCCTTTCTTGTGAATAATTAGTGTCACACAATATTTTACACTTATTAGAAGTCTACTTAAAAATGCATGTAAAAGTAACTACAGATTCTTTCTGTTCTTGGTTCTAGGCCAGTGTTCAGACTTTTCCTCTGAACTAGTTAGGACGGCTAAACCCTACAAAGTAGAACCTCTTATAAGCATTGTTGTGTTTCTGCAGGGGTGAGTTTACATCACTTATTTGTTTACAGCAGTTTCCAAAACAGAAGCTTCAGTAAAACTATGGGTGGGGAGGAATATTATTTTATCTGTAGTCATTATGATCACCTGACTGTGATTTTGTTTGACAAGCTGCAGTAGCAGCAATAGTTGATATTTTATCTTACTGTAACAGTGATTTGAAGTGATAAGTAATACTGCTTTCATGTTTTTGGCAGGTTTAACTGGTTTAGAGAGATATGGGAATCACTGTCATTGCCAGAGGTGGATGCTGCTGTTCTGAGTAGTCAGGATGCATGGTTCCCCCTTGTGTCCCTGATTCTATTTCTTTTTGGGACAGGCATTGCCTATTGGAGTGGAGTAGTTTTCTCTACATCTCTGAGACTCTTCTCTTCAGTATGGTTAACTCTGATGAGGTAAAGCAACATTATGCTACATAATTATGCTCTTTTAGGTTGCTTTGACCCTGTCAATTTTTTGTTTGCTTCAGTGTGAATACTTAGGCAGATTAAAATCTGCTATCTAGTTCATACGTGGTTTTAGCCATCTGGGTTTGTAAGTGTTCAGTGCTAATCAAGTATGAGTGTTGCCTCCTATTCCTTATTCCCAAAAGGGAACATAAATGGCTTTTTTGTCTTCTTCACCAGCTGTTGTGAAGACTTTCAGCTTCTTTTTGAGGAAAGGTGGTTGGGGGAAAGAAAACAAGTGAACTATTCCCTTCTCAGGAGCTTAAAATATAAATGTCTAAGTTTAGTAAAGGGACTTGAAACATTGCAATCCATTCCTCTGTTCATGTTGGGTAAGCTGCATTAAAGAATGCAAACGGGTCTGTAAAACAAAAACTTCTTGGGTGTTTATTTCACCTTACAAGATGGACTAACTTTATAGATCTAAGAACACTGGAATAGCTTTGCCTGTAGAGATGAGTATTCAAATATGAAAGAGGAGTTTTAAAAAGCAAGGAAGACAAAAAGATTTTGAAAGAGGAAATTAGTAAATTGGGTAACATGCTTAGCTATCTTCATGGTTTGACTGCTCTCACACTGATAACCATCCTCCACTAGATTTGAGCCAACTCTCTGTCCTCAGAAAGTTGGTTGGGATGCTCTTTGTTCAGAAAAAAACATGTGAAATGAACTCTTCCTTTTTTCATTGCTAGCTTCTGGGCTTACTCTAACAAATAGTAGATGTCATGTCAGCTATTTCTTCTTTGCCATCTTGTTTATAAATTACAGTGTATACTCAGAAGTTTCAGTATTAGTTTTAAGTGATGAAGTGATAAACTTCTAAGTTTTGAAACTTCCATTAACAAAATTTTTGAGGGTTTTAGCATGATACATGCTCTTATTAAAGCTTTTTATTTCCTGCAGACCCTGAGAATGTCTTGGGCAGAAGCAGGAAAATAGAATTTTGTGTGCCTGCCTTTAAGTCAGCTGGTTCATTTTGAAATTCTAGTGCCTTACACAGATCCAGTGTGAAAAAAAAAAAAGAAAAAGAAAAATTTCTCTAAATCTCTCTGAAATATTGACTTGACCTTTGCTCAGTGTTTTGAAATGACCTGATATGGCCAACAGCAACAAATCTGTCACTAGCCATATGTGGAGTTCTCTGTTCTTGTCAACCAGCCTTTTTGTGGTTATTTTCAATATTTTTTGCAAAGGCTTTTAAAACTGTATTTTCCAAATAATGCTTTTTTCTGTTCTCAGTGTCTATTTTAATACCGGAATGTCCTGTGAATATCCAAGAAGTACAGACTTTTCCATCGTTCTGTTGCACTTTCTCCCCACCCTGGTCCCCTTGTTGTCACACCTTCTCAGATCATCCTTGTCATCTCAGATTCATAGTGATCAACTTGAATCCAGAAATTTAAAATAAGCTGTTCTGTGTGTCTCAGTCTGAGCAAACAGGAATTCCTGTCTGAGGAGGACATTTGTCACAGAATTAACCTCTTGGAGAATTCCTGTGTTATGTCGCTGTACCAGGAACACTGCAGTGCATTAACATTTGTAGTAGGAGTCACTCCCATGATGCAGCTGTGCAGTAACAATCATAAGAGCTTGGTGATTGATTTGGATCTACATTTAGCATTATCTAATGCTCTGTGTTCACCAGTGTATCCTTTATGTTCCCCAAATGAAGTAAAAATAGTACATCAGTCACGTTCTGGAAGGTTTAAGACTTTGTTTTTTAGTTCATTTGATAAGAAAGTTGGTTTGATTTTGTCTTGGGGTTGGATTTTTTCATTTGGGGTTGGTGTTTGCGTTTTTGTTTGGTTTGGGCTTTTTTTTGGCCAAGTAGAGAGATACCAATGGCACCATAATGTTGAAACTTGTCTAACTTTATTTTTCCTGTGCTTAATCAATATTCAGGAGCAATTTCTTCTTTTCAGTCATTCAGAAAACAGAATTATTCTTTGATCCTTGTAGTTTTGATGTTGTTACAAGAGTGTAACAGCAGTTTTGTCTTTTTTTAGACCTACAGGACTTGAGAAAGAGAACAAGTTGATTACAGCCAGGAGACTGTGCGGGGCGTTATCCCTCGCTTTGGTTAGCTGGACCACTTGTGGTGCATTTGCTGTAGTCATCATTTATCTTCAGTACTTGTTTAAGGTACTGAAAGGCTAAACCTTTTGAATTTATAACTGAATACAAAATTTTGTGTGCTTTGAATGAACCCCATGTTTAAAGCAAAAATGCAGATTACTGTTTTTCATACTTAAATTATTACTTGCATACTTGAAGTAGATCTTTTTGGAACTTCTCACTCTCACAATCTTGTAATCTTGGAATGACTTTATTCTTTTGATAAAGCATTTTCCAAAGAAATGTACAGTCCCATATGCCCACTACAATAATTTATATAGTTGTGATTTTTAACTTATGGATAAGTAATGTTATAAAATCCAAGGCTAACTCCCTTGATGAGAAACTTTAGGAAAGGGAGGACTTAAAATATTCTGTCAAATATTTCTTATCTCTAATGACTTCTCAAAAACCTTTATGGAGTAAAAGGAAGGAGGGGGGATATATTGTAGAATTAGGATAGTCTAACTGTATGTGTATATATAATCTGATTCCTTGGCTAGTGCCACAAAGATCCATATCTAGTCCCTACCATTCAGTTTCCATGGTCTTCCTTGCATCAGAGTATGTAACTTACCTGATTCATCCTATGGCTATGCAGCTGCTAAATCAGCCACCCTACCTAGCTCCTAGGGAAGTATTGGGAGTAGGGGCACAGAGAAGAGCAGCTGAGCAGTGGTCTGAAGTAGGTAGGTGGCAGCAGAAGGAATAGGTCCAGCTCTAACTGAGCTCCCCATGATAGAAGGTTACCTGGTGAGGGATTTTCTCATGCTGACATATTCCCCCTTCTGCAGTAAATCTCTGACATGGGACTTTCCACATGTGGCCTGTTTCAGGGTGTCTGCAGAAAGTGAAGCAGAAGTGAATTAGCAGGAGAAGATGAGGAATGTGCAGATTTTCCACTCTGTGGAAGGGGAGAAAGCAGAGCAGCATGTTTCCTCTCTGTGCTTGGAAATCATTCCTTGAAAGAGCATTTTGGGTGCTGTTGATAAAGTCAGAGGGAGTTTTCCACTGCAGAATTTGCAGTTCTTCCATTGGGGGCCTAGAATCATCTGCTTATAAAAAGGGTTGAAAAATAATTAACTACTTTTTCTCCTTGTATACTACAACTTTTGTCTGAAGGAACACTACTAAAAAAAAGCTGAACTGTCTTGCCTTACAGGTTATAAAACTACATGTGAATGTAAGAGCAGAACAAAACATGCTTAATGGGGTAAGTGTATTTCCTGCTTCTGTCAAAGCTGTAACCAAAAATTCTGGTAAACCTGTGCATTATGAACTGCTGTTTTCTTGCCTTGGCAGTTCTAGCTTGTGTGTGGTGACTGGATGGCTGTAGTTACTTACAAATGCAAGACATGAGTAGCCTGTTCCAAGCCATGACTATTGCATGCACTGTTCAAGATCACTGCAGTGTGAACTTGTCTGAAGTTCATTTAAGAAGAAAACATACAGAACAATAGTTTTGGTCTAAAATTTGGTATTTCATTATGTATGACTTACCTCAAGAACTAAATGTAACTTCGAGATCATAGTAAATACTACAGGTAAATATTTTTTTCCAGACAGGTAGTTTGTGGAGTTTAGGGAGTTTTTTTTTTTTTTTGTAATTTGGCCATGACAAATATGGTTTGGATAGATGGATATGGACTGAGACTGCAGTAAACTGGGAGCTGTTTAAAAAAGGCATGAAGAAGCATTGGGTTTCATGCAGTTTGGGCTTTGTTTTTTCGGTTACTTTAAGGTACAGGATCCAAGATGTCAGCATGTGTGGATACAAGCACATACTAACTACCTGCTCCTAAATGTAGTTAAAAAAGCCATCTGCCAGAAAAAGTTGTTGACAGCTTTCCTTGGGTTTGAGTGCTTTTTGCTTGTTTAGTTTTAAATCCTCTTTCTCTTTTTTTTCATCTCCATATATTTTTTTTTTTGTTTTGTGTTTAAAAAGGCATGAAGAAGCATTGGGCTTCATGCAGTTTGGGCTTTGTTTTTTTGGTTACTTATTGTTTTTTTGGTACAGGATCCAAGATGTAAGCATGTGTGGAGACAAGCATGTAATAACTACCTGCTCCTAAATGTAGTTAAAAAAGCCATCTGCCAGAAAAAAGTTGTTGACAGCTTTCCTTGGGTTTGAGTGCTTTTTGCTTGTTTAGTTTTAAATCCTCTTTCTCTTTTTTTTCATCTCCATATATTTTTTTTTTTGTTTTGTTTCATCTATGGGTTGGATTTTTTCCTGACATTTGAAGTTAGCATTTGCCAACACATAGTTTATCTTTTTTATTTATTCCTCCAGTTAATGTTTTACTCCCCTTTGCATTACCTCCTGTATCTTTTCCCATGAACTTGTGATTTTCACCTATGTGCTTTACTACTTTTATTATATTCTTCCTCCTTCCAAGAGCTCCATTTGTTATCACTGCATTAGTGTCAGGGTATCTCCACTCTCTTCTTTTCTTCCAAAGACACATAAACTACTAGTGTAGGAGAAATTTCTGGTTAAAGCTGGATGCTTTAAAATTGAACTGTTGGGCTTTACTTTTGATGGCTTTTTGAAGAGATGAATTGCAAATTTTCTTCTTAAATCAGAGCTCGTATGATAGTGCTGTGAACAGGTGGAGGGTTTTTTTTTTCCCCTCTTCCCCCAGCACGGGTTCTTAGAAGCCTGTGAATGTTGTTATGACTTTTGCCTTTTGCTTTCAGGATTCAGACTGCTCAAAAGAAACTTCACAAAACTCTAGCAGACACACAGTCAAAAACCAGAGTTCGATGGACAGTACCTCAAAAGCAACTCAGCCTCTTTCCAACAGTACAGCAACTGCTGAAGCTGTTAACAGTCTTAAGCTACATGTTACAATTCTCAACTTATTCACATGGATTGTGCTGCTCAACTTGCCATCTTTAATTTATTGGTTAAAGAATCTCAGGTAAATTCTTAAATTGCCAGTAAGGTGCAAGAAAAGAATATGAACCTTTGAAGAAAGTAAAAATTGCAAATGTTTGACTCTTTACATTATTAGCTACCTTATAGTATGAAACACTTCAGTTAATTATAATTTTTTTTTCTATGCAATCTGGCTTATGCCATGATATAAGTAGTTGAGTCAGTGATATGCTGAAGGAAATAATGATTCAGAAAGGCTTTGAAGTCAGGCTATGATACACATTTCATGTATGTTTTTTATCAGCACATGTTTGTTCCCAACCTGGATTTTATGTGGTAGCCTAGATTAGAAGTAATGTGCATTTTAAACCATTTTTTGTAGGTACAATGTTAGACTTGATCCAGATCCATGTAGATCTACAGCTATAATCCTCATATGCATTTTAGAAATTCTCATGAATTCAAGTACTTCTGAAGTGAAATCAAGGTACTGTAGCCTAATCCTCAATTTATTTTCCTGCTTCTTACTACTACTGTTTGTGGTAAAAATTTATGCTGCACAGACATGTAATTGTTCAGCCTATGTAGAGGTTCGTAAAATCATACGTTTAAATCTTTAAAACTAAGTAAAATGCATGTGAATTACCTGTAATTCATTTAAGTGGAGAAAATCAATATTTACCACATCACCTTAAATGAAGTTTTTGATATCTGAACAATCAGTTGCATAAAGACTTCTTTAACAGTGACTTTTTCATTCACAATTGATGGAATCCTTCCAAATGTTATAGAATCCAAATACATTTGGCAATTACAGTCAGAAAGTTACAAGGAAAAGCAATTTTAAACCTTTATAATTATGTTCTTGTAATTCCCCCTTATGGGCATACTTGTGCAAATCTAACATGATTTCTACTGGATTGCAAAGTTTTGAGTGCTTGGTTTTGCTGACAGAGCATTTCTTGTTCACATTTCAAATTAGTGCCTTGTGAAAGACCATGAGTAATAACCAATGTAGTTTATCCTCTTGACCTGTTAACTCAGATGATCTAAACCACAAATCTTTGTTACAGAGAGCTTATTTCTAAATTAATAGAAGAATAATCTTTGTTACAGAGAGCTTAAGAGCTTATTTCTAAATTAATAGAAGAACATTTTAAAATGACACCTTTATTAGTGTTTTTCAAGAATTGCTTTTGCTTATGCAGCAGTTTTTATTGCCAATTACACCATTTTTTTTTTTTTTTCTGTTTTGAAAAAACAAATCCTGGAAATCTATAAATTATTTTTCAAATGGACGTGAAATATGGTATTTGTGTACCTTTTTCCATGTATGGCTACAAAAATGGCAATTTTTTCTTTATATTCTTGCAGTAAACTCTTGAAGATGGCAGCCAAAGTTCCACTCCCTTTGTCTGTTGCAATGCTGGCCTTTGGACGAATGCATTTATACAAAGTACCACACTTTGCAACCTTTTCTCTTCTCCTACATGTGCTGTGTTGTTTTGTATAATGTTCATTCTGCATAGGAGGAACAGTGCAGCCTAGAAACTTACCACTGGAGATGGGGTGAATCTCAACAAAGAAATGCCTGGATTAACATCGTCACTAGTTTACATGGTGTGGGCAAGAAAGAGGACAGAACTGTGACATTCTCTGAAAAACCTGTGGTTCTGTTCATGTTGCTTAGACAGCTTTCCTGGTGTTTATTTCCTGACTGTGAGAATTCAGTGAGTTAACAATGTGTGTGTGTAAGCACATAAATTATGTTAGTGCAACATCTCAATACTCTGCCTTGTAGACACTTTGATACTTCACTGTACTTTGGTTAAACAGACTTTTTCTACTCACTATGCCATAGAGTGTGTGTGTCCTGAACCTGCAGCTCCTGCAGGTCTAAATTATGCTGGTTTAAACTCAATACATTTCAAGCACACTGTGACTATCACAAAAAACTACACAGCCAAGTATACTTTTAATCATTTTATGCTACGTTTAAAAGCTGCCACAGTTGTGTCTAGACAAACTAGAATGTACTGCTTATATAAAACTGTTATCTCTGTCAAGTCCTTTGTTCAATCAGTGCGAGTTGAACATTTGTGAGATTGTTGAAAGTCTTATACTTTTTACTTTTTTGTGAGAGTGAGAAAACAATATTCTGTGTAGCTTTCTATTCAGGAAGGATACCAGCAGATTCCTAAACAATTTGCTGTAATGTTGTTTTAAAACATTGCCAGTTTTCTCTGGAATTTTGTCAATTCTGAGATTACTCCTTGGATCTTGTCCATGTGTAGAAGTTAGCAAACGTTGAGGGATGGCATGAGCTACAGTGCTGTTGCTCTACCACACTGTAGCCAAGTAGACAAGGCAGGATTTATTCCTATTGTAAATGGAAAATTAAACATCTCATAAGCAATGTCCATACATGAAATTAATATGGAATAGTGACAACACTGTAAATTCATGTCCTGCCATCCAGTGCTAACTTTCTCACATGGACAAACTCTGAGTGGTAGTGGGAAAAAATTATCATAACTGTTAGCTCTGTGTAAAGTGTTATCTTAGTGCCTAGATGCTACAGTGACTGCCATTTATAATAAAGCCTAAAATAGCTCCATGTAAGGAATCCTGTCCCCTGGGTATGTGTTTTGCCAACAGAGGAAATCTCAGTAGCCATTAGGTTAAAATGATGTATTGATGCTGTGTAGAAGTGAACTTACTACTTGCTTCTGTGTTAGTTGTCTCTGCCCTGAGATACCAGTTACCTTCATATGGAAATACTAGACCTGCTCAGTATCTTAGATGAATAATAGGAAGCAATCTGCTACCCACAGTCAATCAAGTATATTCTTGATATAGTACAGCCAGCCTGACCCTTTCATTTTATCATATTTCATTAATCCTGCCTGAAGTGCCTCAGTTAGTTTGAGTGTGGTGTTAGGGTCAATTCATTTGTGCTGGTTGGAAAGACTTAATTCACACAGTGATCTTTTGAAAAGGACAAATGTGAAGTAGGTGCCTGTTTTGCCCACTTGTATACAAGTCAGCAGTTCAAGCTATCAGTCATTAAAACTGCTTTAACTGAGTAAGTTTACTGTAGTTAACCAAAGTATTGTCACTGTTATCAATAATCTATGTGCTGGTATTTCATCTTAACCTTTTTTTTTAAGAAGATTAGATTGTACATGGTATTTGTAAATCAGAGAAATTATTTGAGTAGATTATATCCTGATACTTTCTAACCAAATGTGAGCTACAGCATATGTATATAAGGTAATTTGTGTGTCTAAATATACTTGTAGCTAAATCCACTCACTGGTTTAACCTAAAAATTGTAATTCAGACATAGAACAGAGTAATTTTTCCTGCTTTCAAGTGGCTGTGAATGAAAGCTGATAGCAGAACTGCATTGGGGCTGGTAAAAGGCTGTGTGTGAAATGTGCAGGATCTGATTCCTGTGGAAGATCATTTTTCTTGGCTTTCATGGTCCTTCTGGCTTATTACTGTATTTTACTTTGATTTTATTTTTGCCATTTTAATGGGTTCTTTATGCACGAATCCATTTGTTGGAGCTGTTGATGGAATAAAATAGTAATCAGAACAAGGAGACCAAATGGTCTCTGCATGTAGTAGCTTTGAGAGCTTCCAAAATCTGCCACAGTGTCAAACTTCTGAATTACAGCAGCATAGAATAACACCTTCTTTTTTTCATTGAATTCAATAGTTAACGCTGGGAATTGTGTTGATAGCTGTTATCACTCTTCATGAAATGGGCTACAGAATCCTGTAGGGATTTCTACCTGACTTTCAAGTTGGAGGTATGAGGAACTGTAAATGTCACTGAAATATCCTTTGTTATGAGTAAGATCCATTTATAAAACAGCTTTTCACAAGTATAATGTCTCTTAAACTTTAAATTAAAATTCCACTTTATTCTTAAAATCTTAGATTGTCTAGACTGTGTGGGAGAAGATCAAGGCACAAATTAACTTGCAATGGATTAGATCTCTGCTCTGTAAGGGAGGTTTTCTATTAACATGCAGATCCAAATTCTGTTGTTCTCTTCTTTTTCAGAAGTTGAGGTGAATTACTTTTGCAAAATCACTCTTCTTCATCCATGTGGATGCTCACCACATTTAGATGGAGATTATGCCACATCATCAAGCATTTTAGTTGAGATTAAGCCTCAAATTTTTGCCTTGTACCTCAGAATACATTCAAAATAAGAACTATTTGTATAGCTCTTTTCTAGTATTTTTTATAAGCTATCAGAAATGGAATAAAAACACAGGGTAAGAACCTAGAGTACCAAGTGTCACTAATTTTAGGTCCAGCATATATGTACAGTAAAGAACCTCTCTTTGGCAGGGGGAGATTTAATGAGCAGCTTAAAGGTCTGGTTCATGCTTGCCTGGTAAGGGAAAAACTGTGTTGCCTCTTCACTGGAATTACCAAAGGTACCTTGAAACTGATGAGTGTTGTCCAAAGGTGGTGTTTTCAGTTTTGATTTAAAAGCTGGTTGTGGTTTGTCATGTTTCAGCATCCTGTTAAAAGGGGGACTGGTTTGGGGGTTTTGGTTGGTTTAGGGTTTGTGATTTTTGTGGTGTTGGTTTTTTTGTTTTGTTTTCCACACCAAAATTGCAGTAACTGAAGTTAGGTGAATATCATTTCTAATTTTTAGAGCTCTGCTGTGATTTTGGTTTTGAGCGAGATGATAAATGTAACAATTCATTCCAAAATATTGATTTTCTAAGTTTTAAAACAAAATATACCACAACAAAACCCTGAACAGTACAGTAGTAGTATATTGCAGAAGATCCAGAGACTGCCTGTATGTCTAAGTGAACTTTTCAGCTGTAACTTAATTGGCCTACCTTTAAAGTCAATGTTTAGAAAAATAAAATGTATTGATACTTAAAAAAACCCCAAAAAACCATTGTTGCATACAGCAGTACTTGATATGAAGTCAAACTTTCTCTGTTTGCCAGTAACAAGGTTATGGTTTTGTCACTTGACTTTTTTCTGAAATCTGATAAATCTGTTTCTAAGCTGTGACAGAATAAAGTCAGTTATGTGCCTGTGAATAAACATAAACATCTTGAGAAGCTTTCATTTTATCAAGCTTATTTCAATACAGTGTTGAGAGTGTGTTTAGACTTTGTCTTATACTGAGGAAAAACCCAGCCATTTACAGACCTTCAGCACTCCTGAGTTACTGTAAATGGTTTTGGAAGCAGTTATAGTGTCTATACAATAATTCTGTTGCTGTTTGAAGTCACTAAGCTAGTAGAAAATTGTTAGCTGTAAACCAGACTAAATTCTTAATACTTATTTTCCATTTTATGATGAACGTTAGTCACTTAATTTACAGCTTTGACTTTTTACATCTCTTTTCTGTGGGAGATAATCAAGCTGGCTTTTATAAGCACTTAGCACTGTAAAAGGTTTTAAAACTTTCATCACTGTTCCTTTAGAGCAGATGTACTTTTGTCACCAAAGCTACATGCTGCTCTTGTATACCTCTGGAAATGTGTGCCAATGAATGAAAAGTGAGAACAGATTCATTTTGATGTTAAATAGTCTTTCTACCTTTTTTTTAGGGCCAGAATGTTAAGCAAGTTTTCATAAAAGAGTTCTTAAAATCTCTAAAAGTTAGTTTGAAAACCTTTTACAAATGCTTTTTTTCCCTGATGTTTGTTTTTATTTATGGAAGAATGTACTCAAAGCTTTTAGTCGGCTCATTTATCTTAAAGCTTAAATAAAATCTATAAATTCCATCTTGCTGATGAACATTAGTGCTTTTAAAAATAAATTTTAGGCATTTCTGGAGAAAATTCTATAGCTCTTACTTAAGCAAATCTGTCCAGTACCTCAATTTTTCAAGTATCTAAGAACGTAACTGCCTCAAATTTGTGCGTATTGCCTCATAGTGCAAAAACCTGAATCAAAGCTGTGATATTTTGACTTGAATTTCACTTAAGATTTAGAGTCTCTTGCATTCTTGTAAGGAAAATGATGTTGCCACTCATGCTGTCATGACAAATCCTGTAGGCATGGCCTCTCTACACGTACTAGCAGGGTGTGGTCTAGATTCTCTAGGAATCTATGTGGTATCAGAGGTAATTTTGTGTCTACAAATGTCAGGAATGGCACACACAAACTTGTTATTTCACAACACATCATTCCAGTTCCTCTTTCCATGTGTGGTTATCCTTAATTTTGCCATATCCTTCTGCTGTTGTACAAAAGATGTTCACAGTAAGGGGCACCATGGCTGACCTAGCGAAGGTGCACAGCAGCTGTTCTGCACACTGTTGTTCTACTGAAATCTTGCATATTTGTTGAAATACCAGCAAAGACTTTTTTTTTCCCTTCAACTTAAATAATTCTAGGGTATAGGTATAAAGTATCAAACATGCCAGTGTGCTATTTGGTTTTATAAAATGCTAAGTGCACTCTTTTGTGATCAGCTCAAGCTTTGGTATTTTCCATTGACGTCACTTTGTCTGTTGA